CTGCCTCAGCCTCCCAAGTGGTGGGGACTACAGGTGTGAGCCCCCAAGCCCAGCTAACATCCTGGTGTTTTACTGTTCCGAATTCAGTGGTTCTCAAAGCTGGCCAAGTACCAGGATGCTTTGGGGCCATTAAAAAAACAAAACAAAACCGGCTTCCAGGGATCCACCCCAAAGAGATGGAATCAGAATTTATAGGGGTGGCTGAGGCAGGCATATCACAAGATCAGGAGTTCAAGACCAGCCTGATCAACATGGTGAAACCCCATCTCTACTAACAATACAAAACATTAGCTAGGCATGGCGGTAGGTGCCTGTAATTCCAGCTATTCGGGAGGCTGAGGCAGGAGAATTGCTTGAACCTGGGAGGCAGAGGTTGCAGGGAGCTGAGATCGTGCCACTGCACTCCAGCCCAGGTGACAGAGCAAGACTGTCTCAAAAAAATAAAATAAAATTAGCTGGCACGGTGGTGCGTGCCTGTAATCCCAGCTACTCGGGAGGCTGAGGCAGGAGAATTGCCTGAACCCAGGAGGCGAAGGTTGCGGTGAGCCAAGATTGCGCCATTGCACTCCAGCCTGGGTAACAAGAGCGAAACTCCGTCTCAAAAAAAAAAAAAAAAAAAAAAAAATTAAAAAAAATTTTTAAAAATCACCACCTCCAACCAGGAATGAAAGTTGGGAGGTCTGGGAGGGGAGTGCTTGCCTGCCTCCCTACCATGGAGTGCGAGGAATAGCAGACCCTGGCAGAGGGTCTGCCCCTGGCAGAGGTGGGGCAGCCCTGGTGGTCTCTCCTAGCAGAGACTCCCAGATTCCAGGACACCTCTGGATGTAACAGTCTGACTCCTCCAAGCGGAGCAAAGGCCAGGCAACCTCCAGGCCTGTCCCCGGGGAGGGAATCAGGCCGGCAACGTTGATTCATCACTGCTGAGCACAGTGGCTGTTGTCTGCCTCAAGGGCTATTTTTTTCCCCTTTCTTTTAAGTGACTAATCAAAGTCAATATCACTAGTGCAGAGAGGCCCGGAGCTGAGTCAGGGGTGCGCGAGAGGCCAAGCTGGGTCTCCAGGAAAAAGGGCTGTGCAATCCGAGCCTTCTCACCCTGTCCCTGCCTTCCAGGTCTGTGGATACAAGGTCCCTGCCCTGCAGAGCCTTCCCCTTCACAGGGCCCCAGCGAGGCTCAGGGAAGCAGCTTCAGGCCATGGAAAGGGGCTGGGCTCTGCCCCTACATGCTGCGTGACCTCGGATAAACACCTGGCCCTTTCTGGACCAGTGTTCTGATCTGTAAGATAGGAGGCTGGATTAGATGGTCCCGGAAGGCCGTTCCATCTGCACCCAGATGAAAATGTGCCCAAATGCATCACTCATGCTGGGAAAGCTCCGGGAGGTAATGGGAGGAAGGATGGGGGGAGCCCTGTCCGGCCACTTTTCTTACACCCTTGTGCCTGCTACTCTCCCAGGTGGGTAACACTGGCTCCGTGCTGCAGATGAGGAAGTGAGCAGGTGGAGATTCAGGATGAACCTGCCCAGTGTTGCCTCCCAACTGCCAGACTCTTCCCAGCAACAGGAGAGAGAAGGGGAACTGGTGGGCAAAGCAGGGCACTGGGCCTACTCACCCAGGCCTGCCTTTGCTGGTCCAGTGAGTTGGGCCCTGACCTCAAGGCACTTCAGGGGGCCCCAGCAGTCAGGACCACCTGCTATTCTCTTCTGGTTGGTCATTCCAACCTCTCTGCCGTCACTGAGCTGTGCCCTCTTTTGGATCACCCTCTCTCTTCCTATTCAAATCCTGCTCCTGGGCTATCCCAGGGTCTCTTCTTCCAGGATTGTGCTGCTCCAACTCTCCCTCCTTGCTACGTCCTCAGCCTCCTGCAACAGGCCCCATGCATCTGTCCCCCATAGCCTGGCATGCAGACAACAAGCACCGTTCTGGGCCCGGGGAGGGATAGGTCAGCTCTGCGAAGTCCCCAGGAAGAAAATTAGGGAGTCTCTGAGTTGAGGGGAGGAGGCAGCTCATGCCAGGGTGGGGCTCCCTGGCTGTGTGACCCTGGCCCTGGCACTGGTCTCTCTTTGCTACCTGTACCCTGCGAGTGGCCTTTCTGATCTCTGAGGGCCTGCAACAGTGTTGAAGCCCCCTGGCTAGTCCCCAGTGACCCCCTTCGCTCCCCATCTGCAGAGGGAGAGGTGGGAGCTGGAGAAGGTTGGAGGGCTGGGCCGGGCCTGCAGCGTGAGGAAACGCGCCAGCTCCTTCCCCAAGTGTGACTTTTATAAATAAGCTCCCTTCGCCTCCTTCCAAATGTGGTGGCGTTGGGTGGGGGAGAAGGAGAAAGAAGGAGGAGGAGGAGGAAGAGGGATGGAGGGAGGGAGGGCTGGGAGCAGTGCACAGCCGCTGTCCCCAGCACCATCTCTGGCCAGCCCAGCCCAGCCCAGTCCAGCCCAGCCCGGCCCAGTCCGGCCCAGTCCAGCCCAGTCCTGCGCAGCCAATGCCAGCTTCTTCCTGGGGATTCTGTGCTGAAAATTCTGACTCCTGGGGTTTCAGGCCTCCTGCAAAAGTGGATGTGGAGTCAGGAAACCCGTGGCCCTCCATCTCGTACCAAGAAATGGGATTCTAGGTTTTCCTATCCCCATTTCACAGATGGGAACCAACCCCAGGTCCAGAGGGAAAGCAGCTTGTGGGAATGGTGGCCCCACCAAGACTGACTGTCCCACCACACCCCATGTGTGCTCCTGCCAGCCACCCACCAGGCTGCTAGAAACCCCTCCCTTGGCAGGGCCACCCAGCAATGGGTACAGCCTCCCTGGGCTCTGAATGCCTTGTGTGGGGAGGGTGGAGGTGTCTGGAGCGGAAGCCTCAGACCATTCAAAGCAAAGCCTGGCTTCACCATCTAATCAGGGGGCGAGGAGGTAGTAACAGAGACAGACAACACAGCAAAAAGATCTGGGTTCGGCTGGGCACGATGGCTCACGCCTGTCATCCCAGCACTAAGGGAGGCTGAGGCAGGCAGATCACGAGGTCAGGAGTTCGAGACCAGCCTGAACAACATGGTGAAACCCTGTCTCTGCTAAAAATATAAATAATTAGCTGGGCGTGGTGGTGGGTGCCTGTAATCCCAGCTACTAGGGAGGCTGAGGCAGGAGAATCGCTTGAACCTGGGAGGTGGAGGTTGCAGTGAGCTGAGATCGTGCCACTGCACTCCAGCCTGGGTGACAGAGGGAGACTCTGTCTCAAAAAAAAAAAAAAAACAAGAAAAGATCTGGGTTCAAAGGTTTCATAGCCCCGGCTCCACTGGGGGTCCCCCAGTGCCAGCCAGGCCTGAGTCTGACTATCTTCAGGGATGAGGCAAACCCCTTTTCTACTACCCTTCCCTCTAGCAGGCAAGCCACATTTCCTTTGTGCCTCAGTTTCCCCTTCAGCTAGTGGGATGAAGGCTGATACGCCAGAGGCTGTTACCCTACATCCACGTTGCTGTAACGCACACATACCCTCAGGAAACCGACCGGTCTCCCAAACATCAGCAAATACACCACACAGCCATCCATCACCAGGAAAACATTCGTTCTGACTCAACGGAGCTCAGGAAACTTGAGGGCAACCGCAGGGGCCGCAGGGGAAGTGTTTAGAGCCCATACGTGACTTGAGGGACCATCTTCTTCCTTTGAAACCTCATGGGGTTTACCCCGGGGGCCGGGCGCTCAGCCAGGAATGACAGATCTGGAGGCAAAGTGGAGGCTGCGGTGCCAGAGCAAGTGGGTGAGAGGAAGGCAGGGGAGCCCAGGTCCGGCTCCAGGATGCCCAGGAGACAAGATTGACATAATGGGGCAGACAGGCTTCAACTCGGGGAGGCTCTGGGTCGAGAAGACAAGCCGTGCAGTCAAACACCCAGAGGACACTTGACATTTTCCATAGCAGGGGACCTTAGGGTTTTGGTTCCTAGCCGAGGTGGAGGGCAGGGGGGCGCTCCCAGGGATCAGCAGGCAGGGCTGCCAGCCAGTTGACCAGCCAGGGCACAAGATGACCAGATGAGAATCAATCTAGTCTTGAGCCCTGATCCCCCCACAACACACCCAGGGAGACTTCATTTCCTTCATCGCCCCCCACTCCCGGTCACCATCCTCCTGGGCTCCTCATCCCTAAGGGCAGAGGCCAGGGAAAGGGGACCCAGGCAGTCTCCAGGGGTCTCTGGGCTGGGAAGGGCTGGGCTCTGACTCAGAATGTTTGTGCATCCTCCCACTCCCCTCAAACCCCGCCCCAGGAGCCACACCCCAGCGGCTCCTGAGATACAGGTGGAAAAACAGATCCAAGTGGCAGGGAAGGCTGAAGGGTCTGGAAACGCCAGCCAGGGCTGCCCGGAAGCCCGAAGGTGGACAGGTGGACCGAGGGTGGGTGTGACCCCTCCCAGACCAGGGGCGGGCAGCGGATCCCTACTGCGACCAGCGGAGGGGGAGCCACAGGTGATGGGAGCCACAGGTGACAGGGACGGCACCCAGGAGGCCGCCCCCATCCGACCGCCGGGTTTCCGCAGCGCGTCCCGCAGCGGGGCCGGCCCCCAGCCCATTGCGGTCCCCTCGTCTGTCCACACCGAGGGGGTTTCCACCGCGATCCCTTGTCTGTGTACACTGAGCGGGGTCGGGACGTCAGCGATGAGGGACAGTGCGGGGGGGGTGCCAGAGACGGCCTGTTCTGCGGGAGGGGGACGAGGTCCCGCCACCAGAACCCCACCATCACCCTCCGAACCCCCCAAATCAAGGGGAGCCCGAAAAGTTTATCCAGGACCCCGGACTCCAGCCTCCTGCCCACGTGTCACCGCGGCCCAACTCACGCGAGCCCGTGACCCCGAGTGGGTCCGAGGGGCGGAACCCGGAGGGGGGTCGGGGTCCCGGGCTCGCCTCGGTGTCTCCAGCCCCGGCTAGGGACTCAGGAGCGGCCGCTCTCCGGGCTGCAGGAGCCGGGCGAGGAGTGTCTGGGGCGTTGGCGCGGGCGGCGGTTGGCCGCGCGCGGGGGCCGGACTCACCGTGCGGAGCTCCTGGGTTCGGTCCTTCATGCTCCCGGGAGTGGTAGCGGCTCCGGCCGCAGCCTTGTAAGCCCCGCATGCGCGACAGCCGCCCCGCGGCTGCGCAGCGCCAGCCCGGCCCCGCCCCGGCCCCCGGGACCCCGGCCCCGCCCCGCCCCGCCCGGGCCCCGCCCCGCCCCGCCCCCTCCTCACCCTGCACGAGCAGCCCCTTGGGGGTGGAAGCCGTGGATCTCGTCCTGGACGTTCCGCGCGCGTGATCGCTCCCGGGGATGGGTCCTCGGAGCCCCCTGCTGCCTTCTTTGCCCCAGCCCCGTCTCAGTTTTTATTTTTGGAGACAGGGTCTCGCTCTGTCGCCCAGGCCGGAGTGCAGTGGCGCAATCATAGCTCACTGCAGCCTTGAGCTCCTGGGCTCAGGTGATCCTCCCGCCTCAGCCTCCGAGGTGACTGGGACTACAGGTGCTCGCCACTACTCCTTAATAATCTTCAAATATTTTGTAGAGACAGGGTCTTGCTATGTTACTCAGGCTGGTCTCAAACTCCTGCCCTCAAGAGATCCTCCCTCCTCCCAAAGCTCTGGGATTACAGGCTTGAGCCACCGTGCCTGGCTTTCAGCCTCCTCCTGACCCAGCCGCTCAGCATCCCTGTCCCAGAATCTGGTCCTCACCCCCAGATCCCTTCATTTCCCCAGGATTTGCTGGAGGTTGTAACTATCTCCTTCATTTCATTACCTTGGGACCTCCAGAACTCCCTTCTGTCCCCCAGCCAAAAACCTCCTGGAGAGTTTCAGCCTGGGAGCCTCCACCCTTCCCCCTTGCTTCCATCATCCAATTGGGACTCAGGCACTGGCCCCTTCTTTCCCTAGGATTTCTCAGTTCACAGCTGTGATGCTGGGTGACCCACCCCTTTTTCCTGCAGGATTCAGGAACTTCTCTTTCTTTCTTATTTATTTATTATTTTGAGACAGAGTTTCACTCTTGTCACCGAGGCTAAAGTGTAGTGGCTTCAGCTCTGGAGCACGATCTCAGCTCACTGCAACCTCCACCTCCTGGGTTCAAGCGATTCTCCTGCCTCAGACTCCCGAGTAGCTGAGATTACAGGAACCTGAAACCATAGCTGGCTAATTTTTTTCTATTTTTAGTAGAGAGAGTTTCACCATGTTGGCCAGGCTGGTTTCGAACTCCTGACCTCAAGTGATCTGCCTGTCTCGGCTTCCCAAAGTGCTAGGATTACAGGCGTGAGCCACCACACCTGTCCAGGAACTCTTCTGTCTTTTGAAAAGAGATTTAAATTATAGCTCCCCTTTCCCTGCATCCCCAATCTTTATCTCTGGCCCTAGGCCTGAGGTTCTATTTTCTTTTTTTTCCCCCTTTTTGTAGAGACAGGGGTCTCCTCGGTCTCAAAGTCCTAGCCTCCAGCGATCCTCCTGCCTTGGCCTTCCAAAGCACTGGGATTACACTTGGCCAATATAGGTTCTGTTTCCTATCTAGAAGCCTGGGGCCTGGTTGCCTCTAGGACTTATGGGAAGACCTGTGGAAGAGTGGGACTTGGCAAGGTGGGGGAGGGATCAGTCAACAGCTGATGTTCTTTTGAAGGTCTCTGCCAGCATCTGGTTGCAACAGTGGTCTTTGCACACAAACCCATAAGTCCGCTGTGCCCCCCACCATCCCCAGCTGTCATGTCTGTAGCCCACACCCTCTTGACCCCAAGCCAAGCACACCCCTTCCCTTTTCTAGGACTGCCAAAGCATTGGAGCTCTGGAGCCGATCCAGCTCCCTGCTGCCCAGTGTGTCTGGGCCTGGCACCTCTCCCAGACTGTGGGCACAGGTTAGCTGGCTGCCAGGCAAGCTAGGGACACTGTTCCAGCTTTCCCTCCTTCCCTGGACGATATGGTCCAAGACAGTCTGATGTATCCTGGCACGGGAGACAGCCACACCCACTTCCAGTTGTCCAGGCTTCAACTTTGGGTGCCCCGAAGAACAGGCATTGCTGGTTCCCCATTTGACAGAGGAAAAGCAAGGATGTAAGTGCTAGAGGAACTTGCCAAGAGATGACAAGTGATAGGGGCAGCTGCCTGACTCCTGGTCAGCCTGCAGGGTGAGTCAGTGGGGGGGGGTCATGGGTGTGCCTCCACAACCCAGTGTCTGGCCCCGCGGTGAGAAAGCAGGAAGGGAGGCTCACCTTCTGCCCTCCAAGCACCCTGGTGTCATGCCAAGCATCACTCACTGAGAGCATATTAAACAGTAGCATGAAAAACGAAAAAGTAAATAAATGTGGCCAGGCACAGTGGCTCATGCCCATAATCCAGCATTTTGGGAGGCTGAGGAGGGAGGACTGCTTGAGGCCAGGAGTTTAAGACCAGCCTGGGCAACATAGTGAGACTCCATTTCTAAAAAAAAAAAAAAAGTGCACCTTTCACGTAATTCCATTTTTTTTTTTTTTTTTTGAGTCTGAGTCTCACTCTGTTGCCCAGGCTGGAATGCAGTGGCGCAATCTCGGCTCACTGCAACCTCCACCTCCTATATTCAAGCGATTTTCCTGCCTCCGCTTCTCAAGTAGCTGGGATTATAGGCACCTGCCACCATGCCCAGCTAATTTCTGTACTTTTAGTAGAGATGGGCTTCACCATGTTGGCCAGGCTGGTCTTGAACTTGTGACCTCAAGTGATTCACCCGCCTCAGCCTCCCAAAGTGCTGGGATTGCAGGCATGAGCCACTGCACCCGGCCTTACCCTTCACTTTAAACTCTGTTTTTCTGCTAAGTCTTTTCCTCATTTAAGTATTCATTCATTTATCAAACATTATGTGGGAAACCATGCTCTGGGGCAACTGTTCTGCACTGAGGGTGCTCCCAGTGCAGTGGGGGAGATAGATGTGGTTTTAGTAAGTGAGGAAAACCAGGGTGGCTTCCCAGAGGTGGTGGCATTTGAACAGCATGTTGCAGTGGGATTGCAGCAGGGAGTGAACAAAGAAAGGATGCTGGGGCCCGGGTGGGGGTGGGGAGCTCTCTAAAATGGAGCACTCTACTAGGAGCACCTCAGGAGCCTGCTGTGGCAGTGAGGTGGGCATGGGTGGATGTAGGTGAGGGATGAGCCCAAGGAGGGAGGAGGCCTTGGATGTTCAACTATTGTGCAGACAAGGGAAGTCCACTGAGAGCCAGATTGTCAGTTATTTATTTGCTTGCTTATTTATTTATTTATTTTGAGTCTGAGCTTCATTCTTGTCGCTCAGGCTGGAGTGCAATGGCGCAATCTTGGCTCACTGCAACTTCTGCTTTCCAGGTTCAAGCAATTTTCCTGCCTCAGCCTCCCAAGTAGCTGAGATTACAGGCATGCGCCACCATGCCTGGCTAAATTTTTTTTTTTTTTTTTTTTAGACAGAGTTTCACTCTTTGTTACCCAGGCTGGAGTTCAATGGTGCGATCTCGGCTCACCGCAAGCTCTGCCTCCTGGGTTCAGGCAATTCTCCTGCCTCAGCCTCCTGAGCAGCTGGGATTACAGGCACACACCACCACGCCCAGCTAATTATTTTTGTATTTCTAGTAGAGATGGGGTTTCACCATGTTGACCAGGATGGTCTGGATCTCTTGACCTCGTGATCCACCCGCCTCGGCCTCCCAAAGGGCTGGGATTACAGTCGTGAGCCACTGTGCCTGGCAATTTTTGTATTTTTAGTAGAGATGGGGTTTCGCCATGTTTGCCAGGCTGGTCCCGAACTTCTAACCTCAAGTGATCCACCTGCCTTAGCCTCCCAAAGTGCTGGGATTACAGGCATGAGCCACTGTGCCTGGCTTTCATTCCTTTGCTTAAAAAGCACTTATTAGGCTGAGTGTGGTGTGGATCATGCCTGTAATCCCAGCACTTTGGGAGGCAGAGGTGGGAAGATTGCTTGAGGCCAGGAGTTCAAGATCAACCTGGGCAACACAGGGAGACCCCATCTCTAAAGAAAAATCTTTTTCTAAAAATTAGCTGAGCATGGTGGTGCACACCTGTAGTCCCAGTTACCTAGGAAGCTGAGGTGGGAGGATTGCCTTGAGCCCAGGAGTTTGAGCCTTCAGTGAGCCATGATTGTGCCACTCTACTCCAGCCTGGGCAACAGAGTGAGACCCTATCCAAAAATATATAAAAATAAAAAGTATTTATTAAACATCTACTATGTGCCCGCTGTTCTAGATGTTGTGAATATGGCAGAAAACAAGATGGACAAACCATTGTCCCCAAGGAGTCTGTGGGCTAGTAAAAATCCCAAACACACAAATAAATAGCATATATAATGATGAAAATACGTTACAGGGAAGATAAAGGAAAGAAGGGGAAGGAACTACTCGCTGGGTTTGAGGAAGGAATTCCAGTTTTATTGGTACAGTTCAAGTTTTTTCTTTCTTTTCTTTTCTTTTTGATAAGGAGTCTCGCTCTGTCACCCAGGCTGGAGTGCAGTGGCAGGATCTCAGCTCACTGTAACCTCCGACTCCCGGGTTCAAGCAATCCTCCTGCCTTAGTCTCCTGAGTAGCTAAGATTATAGGCATGTGCCACCACGCCTGGCTCATTTTTGTATTTTCAGTAGAGACAGGGGTTTCACAATATTGGCCAGGCTGGTCTCGAACTCCTGACCTTGTGATCTGCCCACCTTGGCCTCCCAAAGTGCTGGAATTACAGGCATGAACCACTGTGCCTGGACTTTTTTGTTTTCAAGGGAGAGTCTTGCTATGTTGCCCAGCCTGGAGTACAGTGGCATGATCATGGCTCACTGCAGCTTGGAACTCCTGGGCTCAAGTAATCCTCCTGCCTCAGCCTCCCAAGTAGCTGGGACTATAGGTGCACACCACCACACCTAGTTAATTTTTGTATTTTTTGCAGAGACAGGATCTTGATGTGCTGGCCAGGCTGGTCTCGAATGCCTGGGCTCAAGTGATCCTCCTGCCTCAGCCTCCCGAGTAGAGACTCCAGGTGTGTGCCTCTGTGCCCAGCTCCAATTCTAGACGATTTGGTCAGGGAGGTTCTTGCCGAGAAGGTGGCATTTTGAGTAAATCTCTGAAGGAGATGAGGGAGTGGGCCATGTAGGTATCTGGGGAAGAGCATTCTGGGCAGAGGGAACAGCAAGGGCTACAACCGTGAGGAGGGAGTCTGCTTGGTGCGAATGGGAAACAGCAAGGAGGCGAGGCCGCCTGGAGTGGAGGAGGTAAGAGAATGCACTGGAAGGAAGTGAGGCCAGGCAGGGCACAGTGGCTCACACTTGTAATCCCAGCACTTTGGGAGGCCACAGTGGATGGATCACTTGAGGTCAGGAGATCGAGACCACCCTAGGCAATATGGCAAAAACCCCGTCTCTACTAAAAATTACAAAAATTAGCCAGGTATGGTGGTGCGTGCCTGTAATCCCAGCTACTTGGGAGGCTGAGGCAGGAGAATCGCCTGAACCCGGGAGACAGAGGTTGCAGTGAGCTAAGATCACACCGTTGCACTCCAGCCTGGCGACAGAGCAAGACTCCCTCTGGGGAAAAAAAAAAAGGCTGGGGAGATGGCTTACACCTGTAATCCCAGCACTTTGGGAGGCTGTGGTGGATGGATCGCTTGAGGTCAGGAGTTCGAGACCATCCTAGGCTAGGCAATATGGCAAAACCCCGTCTCTATTAAAAATACAAAAAACTAAAAAAAAAATACAAAAAACTAGCCAGGTGTGGTGGCAGGTGCCTGAAATCCCAGCTACTTGGGAGGCTGAGGCAGGAGAATCCTTTGAACCCAGGAGGCGGAGGTTGCAGTGAGCCAAGATCTTGCCACTGCACTCCAGCCTGGGCAACAGAGTGAGATTCTATCTCAAAACAACAAACAAACAAACAAAGCAGGCAAGCACGGGGCAAAGCCTGGGCATTTGGGAACTCACAAAGCTCCTGGGCACAGTTTGGTGTTTCCATCCCATAGGCTGGGAGGGCTGGGGTGAGCCCAAGCCCACTGCATCCCTGATGTTGAGCGCTGCTGCCACCTGCTGGGCAGCGCTGGTCTTGCCTTGCCTTGCCTTGTACCTGTATGGGATGGTTGGCATGAAGACTGTCACCACCTGTCCTCCGGTAGGACAGACACAGTGACAGTGACAAGACAATGATGAGGAGGCCCAGGGGCTACTGGGGTCTGGGGGAGGAAGAGGAGGAAGCTTTTGTAGGATTCAGGAACAGACTTGTTCCTGGAGCATGGTTGAGGGGGCTGGGGAATGGGAAGGGCTGCTGAGCCAAGCTCCATGGCTGTGTGTGTGTGTGTGTGTGTGTGTGTGTGTGTGTGTGTGTGTTTGAGATTCTCTTGTTGTTGCTTTCTTGGGTCTGGCAGGCTTATTCCCTTTTCCTCCTCTCCTGAGAAGCCTGGCCCTGGCCCGTTTTTTTCCTTCTTGTAATTTATTATTATTATTATTATTATACTTTAAGTTCTAGGGTACATGTGCAGTTCGTGAAGCTTTGTTTTAAAAAATTACAGAGTCAGAAAAAAAACAGAAAAAAAAATGACAGGGTCTTGCTATGTTGCCCAGGCTGGTCTTGAACTCCTGGGCTCAAGCCATTCTCCAGCCTCAGCCTCCCAAAGGGCTGGGATTACTGTGTTTGATCCCCTGGCCTGTGCTTTATACAAAGCACTGGGCATGGTGTGAGGTGCCTGCCTCCTTTAACCCTTACTGTGACTTGGTTAAGGAGGTCCTCTACTAGCTCCATTTCACAGCTGGGAACACTGAGGCTCTGAGAAGTGCATACAAAGTCGTAAGGCTTGGATGACAGTGTTTAAGCTGCCCGGCCCTGCCAATCCGTTTTGATCACCATGCCCAGCCCCCAGCCGAAATGGTAGCTCTCTCTCCCCATCCCGATTCACGATTAGCTGGGAACCATCTCCTGGCTCAGCCCCAGGCCTGGGCTCAGACATCCTAGGGGAGCAGGACAGGAGGAGGATGTGGACGGCCAGGGAGTGAGTCCTGGTACTTAGCGTGTGATATTTGGGATAGTGCTTTGGGATGAAATTCACTCTGTGCCTGAATATAAATTTCTTTCCTCCTTTTCTCAAGGAGAAGATTAAAAAGAAATTTGGCCCCAAATTCTAATTTAAACTTTTAGAGATACAGATGAATAATCAACTCCCTACTTAAATATTTAGTCAAAATATTTAAAATTTAGATGCTTGAATCCCATATTTCATTATTTCTTTCTTTTTCTTCTTGAGATGGATTCTTGCTCTGTCTCCCAGGCTAGAGTGAAATGGCATGATCTTGGCTCACTGCAACCACTGCCTTCAGGGTTCGAGTGACCCTCTTGCCTCAGCCTCCAGAGTAGCTGGGACTACAGGTATGCACCGCCATGCCTGGTTAATTTTGTTGTATTTTTAGTAGACATGGAGTTTCTCCATATTCACCAGGCAGATCTCGAACTCCTGACCTCATCGTACCAGTGCACTCCAACCTGGGCAACAGAGCAAGACTCCAGCTCAAAAAACAAAACAAGATCAAAACCATGCTTTTTTTTTTTTTCTTTTTCTGAGACAGGGTCTCACTCTGTCGCCTAGGCTGGAGTGCAGTGCCGCGATCGTAGCTCATGGCAGCCTTGACCTCCCAGGCTCAAGCGATCCTTCCTCCTCAGCATCCCAAGTAGCTGGGACCACAGTCATGAGCCACCATGACTGGCTTTTTCCTGTCATTTATTTTGATGCTGAAATTGTCCCAGATTTGATCAGTGGATGCCCCTGACTGACCTCTTGTCATTTTGACAAGCCCCGTCATTCTTTAATCACTTCCTTTCTTTCTGGCTCAACAAGCTATTTCAGGCTCATCTCGTTTCTCCCTGTCCCAGCCCTGAATTCGCCATTTCTTCAAGAATCCTTGGTTTCTTTCTAAGGAGAAATAGTATTTAGACACCAGGATCTCTGTGTTAGGCACATTCAATGCAGTTACGGTCATTCTACCCCAGGGTCCGCTCTGTGGACACACATTTATACACACACACAAATGTGCATATTTACATGTTTATTTTTCTTTCTTTCTTTTTTTGAGATGGAGTTTCACTTTTGTTGCCAGACTGGAGTGCAATGGTGTGATCTTGGCTCACTGCAACCTCTGCCTCCCCGGTTCAAGCGATTCTCCTGCCTCAGCCTCCCAAGTAGCTGGGATTACAGGCGTGTGCCACCATGCCTGGCTAATTTTGTGTTTTTCATAGAGACAGGGTTTCTCCACGTTGGTCAGACTGGTCTTGAACTCCTGAACTCAGGTAACCCTAACCCTCAGCTTCCCAAAGTGTTGGGATCACAGGTGTGGGCCACTGTGCCCGGCCCACATCTGTTTATCTCTTTTTTTTTTTTTTTTGAGACGGAGTTTCGCTCTTGTTACCCAGGCTGGAGTGCAATGGCACAATCTCGGCTCACCGCAACCTCCGCCTCCTGGGTTCAGGCAATTCTCCTGCCTCAGCCTCCCGAGTAGCTGGGATTACAGGCGTGCGCCACCATGCCCAGCTAATTTTTGTATTTTTAGTAGAGACGGGGTTTCACCATGTTGACCAGGATGGTCTCAATCTCTTGACCTTGTGATCCACCCGCCTCGGCCTCCCAAAGTGCTGGGATTACAGGCTTGAGCCACCGCGCCCGGCCTTGTTTATCTCTTTATCTGTCCACATAAACTGGGGAAAAACAAGAGTTTATATTTAGACCTTAAATTACAGTCTAAAAGCACAAGTTTCATCCTTGCCTTTTTTAACCTTTCCACATATGTGTATATATATTTTATACACACATACACACACACACACACACACATATATATATATACTTTTTTTTTTTTTGAAACAGGGTCTCATTCTGTTTCCCAGGCTGGAGTGCAGTGGTATAATCACGGCTCACTGCAGCCTCAATCTTCTGGACTCAAGCCATTCTCCCACCTCAGCTTCCTGAGTAGATGGGACCACAAGCCCTTACCACCAAATCCAGTTATTATTTTTTTTTTTTGAGACACAGCCTCGCACTGTTACCCAGGCTGCAGTGCAGTGGAGCGATCTCAGCTCACTGCAATCTCTGACTCCTGGGTTCAAGCAATTCTTCTGCCTTAGCCTCCTGAGTAGCTGCGACTACAGGCATGTGCCACCACACTCAGCAAATTTTTTTGTATTTTTAGTAGAGACGGAGTTTCACCATGTTGGCCAGGATGGACTCGATCTCCTGACCTCGTGATCCGCTCACCTTGGCCTCCCAAAGTGCTGGGATTACAGGGGTGAGCCACTGAGCCCAGCCGATTTTTTTTTTTGAGACAGAGTCTTACTCTGTTGCCCAGTCTGGAGTTCAGTGGCATGATCTCAGCTCACTGTAACTTCCATCTCCTGGGTTCAAGCAATGCTCCTGCCTCAGCCTCCTGAGTAGCTGGGATTACAGGTGCCCACCACCACGCCTGGCTAATGTTTGTATTTTTAGTAGAGATGGGGTCTCACCATGTTGATCAGGCTGCTCTCAAACTCTTGACCTCGTGATCCGCCCACCACGACCTCCCAAAGGGCTGGGATTAGAGACGTGAACCACCATGCCTGGCCAATTTTGTGACTTTTTAGTAGAGACAGGGTTTCACTATGTTGGCCAGGCTGGTCTCAAACTTCTGACCTTGTGACCTGCCTGCCTCGGCCTCCCAAAGTGCTGGGATTATAGGTGTGAGCCAAGGCACCTGACCAAAAAAAGCATCTGAATCAAGTGATGGACATTGGTGCTACCAGTCATGGCTCCAACGGACGTTGGCTACAGTGAGAACACAGCCTCATTTGTGTGGTATTTCTGTCCAAACGTGTCACGGGGGTCCCGTGATCATCAGGAAGAGGTGGACAAGCCCAAACGGAAGGACAGTCTACAAAATAACTTCCCTGTAATCTCTGGAAACACCGAGGCCGTGACACTCAAACAGAGGCTGCAAATTGTTCAGATGGAGGGACAACAGAGACGTGACAACTGGGTACAGCGTTTCACAACTTACCAGTTTTTTTTGTTTTTGTTTGTTTTGAGATGGAGTCTCATTCTGCTGCCCAGGCTGGAGTGCAATGGCGCAATCTTGGCTCACTGCAACCTCCGCCTCTTGGGTTTAAGCAATTCTCCTGCCTCAGCCTCCGGAGTAGCTGGGATGACAGATGCGCGCCACCACGCCCAGCTAATTTTTGTATTTTTAGTAGAGATGGGGCTTCACCATGTTGACCTTGTGAACCACCCACTTCGACCTCCCAAAGTGCTGGGATTACAGGCATGAGCCACTGCACCCAATTTTTTTTTTTTTTAAGAGACGGGGTTTCACCATGTTGGCCAGGATGGTCTCGATCTCCTGACCTCGTGATCCGCCCACGTTGGTCTCCCAAAATGCTGGGATTACAGGCCTGAGCCACCATGCCCAGCCAACTCTTTTTTCACCTTAAAAGTTAATACTTTTTGGACATGGGAGAACAGTTTGAATTTTTTTTTTTTTTTTTAGTTGTTGTTGTTGTTGAGACGGAGTCTTGCTCTGTTGCCCAGGCTAGAGTGCAGTGGCGTGAACTCGGCTCACTGCAGCCTCCACCTCCTGGGTTTTTTGGCTCACCCTCCTGAGTAGCTGGGACTACAGGTGCCCACTACCATGCTCGGCTAAGTTTTTGTATTTTAAATAGAGACAGGTTTCACTATGTTGGCCAGGCTGGTCTCAAACTCCTCATATCATGATTCACCTGCCTTGACCTCCCACAAAGTGCTGGGACTACAAGCATGAGTCACTGTGCCCAGCCTATTTATTTATTTTAGAGATAGGATCTGGCTGTGTTGCCCAGGCTGAAGTGCAGTGTCTATTCCCAGGCAAGATCCCAGCACTGATGGACACAGGAGTTGTGAGCCCTCTGTTTCTGAGCTGGGCTGGTTCATCTCTCCTTAGGCAACTTGGTGATCCCTGCTCCTGGGAGGTCACCACTGCACTACAGGCATACCACACTACAACCCGGGACTCCCGGGCTCCAGCGATCCTCCTGCCTCAGCCTCCGGAGGAGCTGGGACTACAGCCCAGCACCCAGCAACATTTACTGTTTGCAGCTGGGTTGAGGCCCTAATTCCCAGTATGCAACTTTGCTGAAAAGGCCCTTGCTGAAATGGAGATGTCTTTTTACACATTTATTATGATGATGCTGGTATACTCAAGGGACTTGTGGACGTGGCGGGTACTGAGACCCCTGAGGGCACAGCAGACCGACTCGTGATCTTGGATCGGAGCGTTGGGGATATTAGAGGTACTATTCAAGATGTTAGGAGGGCTGGGTGCTTTGGGAGGCTGACCGTGGAGGCCAGGAGTTCAAGACCAGCCTGGGGACCACAGAGACACCCCATGTCTACAAAACATTTTAAAAACATTTGCTGGGCATGATGGTGAGTGCCTATAGTACCAGCTACTCGGGAGACAGGAGGGAGGATTCGTTGAGCCCAGGAAGTCAAGGCTGTGTGAACTATGATTGTGCCACTGCACTCCAGCCTGGGTGACACAGTGAGTCTAAGAACAAAAAATGTGGGCTGGGCGAGGTGGCTCACACTTGTAATCCCAGCACTTTGGGTGGCTGAAGTGAGTGGATCACTAGGTCAGGAATTCGAGACCAACCTGGCCAACACAGAGAAACCCTGTCTCTACTAAAATACAAAAATTAGCTGGGCGTGGTGACAGGTGCCTGTAATCCCAGCTACTCAGGAGGCTGAGGCAGGAGAATCGCTTGAACTTGGGAGGCAGAGGTTGCAGTGAGCCACAATCACACCACTGCACTCCAGCCTGGGTGACAGAGTGAGACTCTCTTAAAAAAAAAAAATTTAAAAATAAATAACATGTGAGGAAGAATTTGCCAGGGACATACTTTTCTTCCTTCTGTTTTTTTGCTGAGGTAAGATTATATTTGTATCTGTGGATGATGACACTCAAGGTACCAAGGACAACCCTTCAGTATGGGGGCTGGGGTACCTTATGTCTCAGCATCTGAGACAATGCCTTCCTTCCCTCTCTCTCTATTTCTGAGACAAGGTCTTGCTCTGTTGCCTAAGCTGGAGTGCAGTGGCGTGATCCTATGGCTCACTGCAGACTTGAACTCCGGGGCTCAATCGATCCTCCTGCCTTGGCTTCCCTAATAGCCGGGACGACAGGCAGGAGCCACCAAGCCCGGCTCCGCCCCTACTTTGGCAAGATGTGGGTAGAGCACCCTCTTGCGGTGAAGGGAGGAAGGGGCTGAATGTGCTCTGGACCTGGCTGGAGGGTTCTAGGCTGCAGCAGGGCCTCCTCCTTGGACTGATTGGGGCGGGGCCTGCCAGGGAGTGCCTTTCAGGGAGGGAGGGCAAAGGGCCATGTCTTTCACTTGCCCCACCTGGCTGCCAAGAGTTCCAGTCACCAGGCCACCCTGAGTCTGGGCCCTTGAGGGTAAGTGTTCTTCTGAACCCAACTGCCTCGTCCTTCCCTGATGATGGGGTGAGAATTCCTTTGCTCCTTGGGGGTCCAAATACCCTGCCCACCCTGCTCGCATGGAGGCCACACCTGCCACCTCCTCTTCCTTTCCATAGGTCGAGACTGGGAGACTCGGGCAACAACCGGGGGCAGGTACAGGGCACCTCAACCCCCTCCCCACCTGACATCAGCATCAAAGTCAAGCCCAGGGCAGCAGGGCCCAGAGCGGGACACCTCTTCCACACAAGACTTGATCGCCGCCTCCTCCTCTGTCACCCTGCACCACAGCCCAGAGTCCCAGGCGGCTGGAGCACTGGGGGACACCCAGACAGAGCCTTCCCTGGACCAAGTCCTCCAGGAGCGGGATGAAGCCATTGCCAAGTAAGAGGAAGCTGCTTTTGAGGGGTGGGAGGGGAGGTGGGGGCTCCCCTGCAGGGCCTTCCTTTCCTCCTCTCCTTCCCCTCCCTCTTTTTTCGAGACAAGGTCTTGCTCTGTTGCCTAGGCTGGAGTGCTGTGGCGTGACTCTGTGGCTCACTGCAGCCTTGAACTCCTGGGCTCTAGATCCTTCTGCTTTGGCCTCCCTTAGTGCTGGGATGACAGGCAGAAGCCACAGTGCCCAGCTCTGCTCCCCGCTTTCACCTTTCACAAGATGTGGGTAGAGCACCCTCTTATGGTGAAGGGAGGAAGGGAGCTGAGTGTGTTCTGGACCTGGGAAGGAGAGGGGACTAGTCAGGCATTGTGGAAGGAAAGCCACACAAGCAGCAGCCCTATCGCTGAGGCAGGGGCTGTGGCCACACCTGCCCACACCCAGGGGTTAGCCACAGGATCCAAGCCTCAGCTATTCTCTCTTCTACCCACAGGAAGCGGGCAGTGGAGGCGGAGCTGCACACGTGCAAAGCCCGGCTGCATGCTGTAGAGGCCCAGCTGCTGGAGGTCCTGGAGGAGAAACTGAGGCTGAGGCGGGAGCTGGAGGCCTGGGAGGTAAGGGGAATGCTGTCAGAGCCTGGGAGGTGTGGGGAAAGAGGGCACAGACACAGCCTTGAACCTGCTTTCCTGCCCACAGGAAGACATGCAGCGGCTGGTGTGGCAGCAGGTACAGAATCAGCTGCAGAAAGAGGCCGAGGGCACTCGGGGAGCCCACGTGGATCCCGGAGCTGCCAGGACCCCCTGGTCTAGATTCTCCCTGGGTCGGGGACATTGGTGGTGACACAGACCTCAGCCCAGGACTGTGGGAGTAGTGTCTTTATTCATTAAAGCCTGAGGTCTGACCACCCCTGTAAAACCTGTGTCCACTCAGTGCCCGTCTGAGTCCTTCTGTGCCCAAATGTGGAGCAGGCTGCAGGGACTTGAAGCCTGGGGTTTTATGCCTCCTCCGTTTTTTTGTTTTTTTTTTTGAGACAAGAGTCTCGCTGGGTTGCCCAGGCTGGAGTGCAGTGGCGTGATCTTGACTCCCTGCAACCTCTGCCTTCTGGTTTCAAGTAATTCCCCCGTCTCAGCCTCCCGAGTAGCTAGGATTACAGGTGTGTACCACCATGCCAGGCTAATTTTTGCATTTTTAGTAGAGATGGAGTTTCACTATGTTGGCCAGGCTAGTCTCGAACTCCTGGCCCCAAGTGATCCTCCTGCCTCAGCCTCCCAAAGTGCTGGGATTACAGGCATAATCCACTGCGCCAGCCCCGCTTCTTGCCAGCAACTCTTAGACCAGGAAGCCTCGGATGGCAGCTATGAAGTCCTGTGGGCAGTCAGCGTGGATCCAGTGGCCAGCGTTAGGCACCGTCTGCATCTGGGCCCGAGGGAAGAGCCGCAGAATCTCAGGCTGGTGGCTGGGGCTGTGCGTTTCAGCAAAGACCATCAGGAAGGGGTGAGCGTGGGAGGAGGAAGAGAGAAAGACACAAGGGGAAGCAGAGTGGGGAGAAATGGACAGGGCTGTGTGAGCCCACATGCCTGGTGGTATTTCTGGTCTCTCGGCCACCCCCCTTCCACACCCAAGGCCTCCCCTGGGAGGGTCCCCAGACTGGGGGCTGGGTGAATAAAGCACGCCCCTCCCACTACCCAGGCTTACTGCACAAATTGAGAGTTTCCGCCACAGAGAAAGAGCGTTGGCCCGAGGTAGGACTCCTGCCTCTGTGGGAAGGCCAAGATCTTGTCTAGGTGCTTGGTCAGGGCATCCAAGTTCACCCTCCACATGAAGCGCCCATCTACCTCCACCAGGTTAGTGAGCAGGAACTGCCGCACAGCCATGTCCTGTGGGGGTCCAACAGCTGGGGGATTCCTTGTGTGGTCTGGGGGTACCACTCTTCCCTTGACAGGTCCCAGGTCTACAATACCATGTGTCGGAGGGGGGGCTTGGGTGTATCACCTGGACAACAGAACTGAGCTGTTCATCAGCCAGTTTTCGGGCACGGGAGCGGGGCAGCTCATCTGGGATGTTGATGGTCTTCATGGCTGTCACATAGGTTGCAAAGTTGGAGACGCCTGTGGTTTCCACTGGGCTGATATCTACAGCAATCAGACGTTCCACCAGCTCTGGCTGTGGGAGAGAACTGAATTGGGACCAGTCTTAGGGCAGACACAGCAAGTCTCAGGCATGGCTCCTGGAGCCTGAACTTGGTCATCCAAGTCTCGTTTGAGTGCCAGGTTGGCTGTGGGGAACCCAGGGTATATACTGAACAGGGGCAGCTCACCCTCTGTAGTGCCAGCAGCATGGCTGTTTTCCCTCCCATGCTGTGGCCAACGACGACACAGGGTGCCAGGCCCAGCTGGGGCAGGAGGTCCTGCAGGTCCTGGCTCATGATCTCATAGCTCATGTCTGGGCTGTGGGGGCTGTCACCATGGTTACGAGCATCTACCGTCAGCACCTGGGGAGAGGAGTGAGACAGGGCTGCATTGGCATCCACATTCTGAGGGTAGACAGCCAAAGGCCTAGTAGGGACAGCAGGTCGAGGGGTGTGAAGATACACCCTGCAGAGGAGAAGGGCCCAGATGGTGGGAGGGCCCAGTTTCCAGACCTAGGAGGTCCAGATGAAGAACCTGGGGCCATTCTGCCAAAGAAGAGCCAGCCCCAGGGTTGTGACCACATCTCTGAAAGGCTGGCCTCGCTGGGTGGCCATTCTGGAGAATGCTAGGGAGGAGAATCCAAGAAATTTCCAACAGTCGGAGCACAGAAGAATGGGCTGCCATTAAGAGGGGGTCGGCTCTCTGTCATCCCTGGTGAACAAGCAGGGTCTGCCCCTTCATGGGAAGGGTGCAGGCGCCTAGGCATTGGCTAGCGCCGACGGAGATCTACAACATGAATTAATGAAGATGGCAACGTGTGGGAATGAATGGGGTTGCCATTCAGGGCTAATACTCTGCAAGACGGATCCGGAAGTGAGTGTGAGAAGCGGGCCCCGCCCCGCCTCCTCCCATGCCCCGCCCATTCCCGCCTCTCCCCCACATGAGCCCCGCCCACTCGGAAGCGCACCCGCCGGCCCGTCTGCTGGGCCAAGGCCTTGGCGATGGAATTGAAGTTAGTTTTGCTGCCGAAGAGCCCGTGCAGAAAGACGACGGCCGGGAGGGCTGTCTCCCCGTCCAGAAGCCTGTAGGACAGCGGCAGCGGCCTGGTGGGGCAAGGATCGGGGGCTGAGCTGGCGGAGCGGCGGGGCGGCGGGGGGGGCGGGGTAGGAGAGGGAGAAGGGCTTTAGGGGAAAGGCCTGGAAGGGGGCGGGCCCTAGGGGAGGAGGTGGGGCCTTCGGGGCCCGGCGGGAAAGGGAGGACAGAGGATGGCCTCCGACTTGGTGCCCTTGACTGACCTCGGCTCGGCACCCCCTCGGCCTCCGCTGCTGCTGGGTGCGACGGGCACCCTCGTGAAGCTAGGACTGGAGAGGCCGAGTCCCGCATAGGGAAACCTCCAGGCTTGGGTCCAGCGGAGCATGGTTGCAAGCCGGTGTCAGGCGTGCACCTCGTGGGGTCCGTCCTGCCCACACTCCTCCTCCCGCCCAGGCTCGTAACCCCGCCCAGTTCCGGTTGGAGCCCCGCCCTCATCGCGGGATTCCCCGCCCTCGATCTCGTTTCCTTACGTAGTCCCCGAGAACAGTTCGGCCCCGCCTCCAGTCCCGCCCCTTACGCATTACGTAATTCCCTCAGGCCTTGCGCCCGTCGCCCTGAGCGTCGCATCTGGCCACGCCCTAGGCGGGCCACCCAAGGCGCTTACCCCGCCCCTCGCGAAGCCCCGCCCCCTGGGCTGCAGCTTGGGGCTCGCTTCCGGCCCCGCACCTGCACTCACCCACTGACCTGGGTGGCTGCCATCCTTTCTGTGCCGGCGGCGCGGGAGGGCGGCGCCAGGGTGGCTCTGGGCGGCGGAGCGTCAGCGTGGTGGCCCCGTGCTCCACTATGGGGGCCCAGGCAGGACTTCCATCCTGGAGTCATCGATCTAGAAAGAGCTCAGGGGCACTCTAGAGCTCTTCCCCAACCCCCTCCGTCCCCTTTACATTTGGGGAAGCCTCCCCCAGTCTGATCCCACCTGCTTTTCGGCCCACCCCCCCCCCAATTCTCGTACTCTCCTATCACACATCCTGCCTTTAGGTCTTCACGCCCTGCCTCCTCCTGCTGGGGTGCTGTCTTCCAGATAGCCAGTTGCCCGAGTCCTATACATTTTTTGAGGGAGGGTCACACCCTCGCCCGGGCCGGAGTGCAATGACGCAATGTAGCTCACTCCATCTCCTCGCTCAAGCTATCCTCCTGCCTTTACCTCCCAAGTATCTGGGACTACATGCACACAGACTAAATTTTTTTTTTTTTTAACAGTCATTGTTAAAAAAAATTTTTTTTAGGCCGGGCGAGGTGGCTCACACCTGTAATCCCAGAACTTTGGGAGGCCGAGGCAGGTGGATCACCTGAGGCCAGGAGTTCGAGACCACCCTGACAACATGGTGAAACACAGTCTCTATTAAAAATACAAAAATTAGCCAGGTGTGGTGGTGGGCTTCTGTAATCCCAGCTACTCAGGAGACTAAGGCAGGAGAATCGCTTGAACTCAGGAGGCGGAGGTTTCAGTGAGCCGAAATCTCACCACTACCCTCCAGTCTCTGGACGCAAAGACACTCCGTCTCAAAAAAGAAAAAAAAAAAAATCCCCAGGCGTGGTGGCATGGCCTGTAGTCCCAGCTACTCTGGAGGGTGAGGCAGGAGAATGTCCTGAACCTGAGGAGATGGAGATTGCAGTGAGTGAGCCTGTAGCAGGAAACGCCGCAAAACAAACCTCTTGAACACCAAACCAGGGGGAGGGCTCTTAGAAGCGGGTCTCCTTCCTCAAGCTGAGATCTTGCCACTGCACTCCTGCCTCAGTGACAGAGCGAGACTCCACCTCAAAAAAAAAAAAATTTTTTTTTTTTAATAGAGTCAGGGTATTGCTGTGTTGCGTAGGCTGGTCTCCAACTCCTGGGCTCAAAGTGCTGAGATTACAGGCATGAGCCACCACACCTGGCCCAACAAAATTTTTTTGAGAGAAGGGGTCTTGCTAACCTTACTCAAGCTGGTCTCCAGCGAGCCTCCCGTCTCAGGTATATGGGTTGGTTTTTTGTTTTGTTGTGTTTTGTTTTTATGAGACAGATTTGTTCTTGTTGTCCAGGCTGGAGTGAAATGGTGCAATCACGGCTCACCTCGACCTTCACCTCCCAGGTTCAAGTGATTCTCCTGACTCAGTCTCCTGAGTAGCTGGGATTACAGGCATGCACCACCACACCCGGCTAATTTTGTACTTTTAGTAGAGACGGGGTTTCTCCGTATCGGTCAGCTTGGTCTGGAACTCCCGACCTCAGGCGATCTGCCCCCCTCAGCCTCCCAAACTGCTGGGATGACAGGCTTGAGCCACCACACCTGGCTTTTTTTTTTGGGTCTGCATCACCCAGGCTAGAGTGCAGCGGCACAATCACAGCTCACTGCAACCTCTTCCTCCCAGCGCCAAGCAATCCTCCTGCCTCAGCTACCCGAGTATCTGGGACCACAGATGTGCACCACTGTGTCTGGCTAATTTTTTTCTATTTTTTGTAGAGATAGGGTCTTGCTATGCTCCAGGCATAGTTAGGGGATAGTTTCAGGCTGGTCTGGAACTCCCAGACTCAAGTGATCCTGCCGCCTTGGCCCCCTGAGCAGATGGAACTACAGGTGTGTGCCGTCGTGCCCAGCCTCAGCTACTGGTCTTTTAAGGCCTGTATAACTGCTGCCTCCTCCTCAAGCCTTCCCAGATTTCTTGAGTTAAAACTAATCTCTTCCACCCTCTGTTCTCAAAGCAT